TGGGACACAACAGCTATAGGTCGATTCAAAGTGTGACGGTCATTTAATTAGCCACATCAGTATCAATCGTAACAACCTGCGAAAATAAGGCCCCAGTTATTATATTCGTAAACTGATGATATACATCGTCAGCGCCGGTCTACCTGACCCTGGCAGCACATAAACGCTGTAGTGAAATGTCGCCGATATGCCGTTCTACTTGTGAAAGCTAATGATGCACTCAGTCATCCGTACGGAAGCAGAGATGGGACATTCAATACCACACAAAAAGCTACTTTGACGGAATAGGATTCCTTCATTGCCATTTTTATCACGAAACCATAGCCTCCGGAACGGAAGACCTGCAATCTAAGAGGAAAATTAACAGCTGAAATGATATTGGCAGGCTCTTACCAGGCGCCTGTCACTCTTAGTGGCTCCTGAGAAATACGTTCTATCCTGATTCAACACTGGTTAGTTTTGGGAGGTGAACGTGGCTCTAATTGGTCGATAATTTAACCTAGGATACACGCCGAACACTAATGGTTATAAAATGTCACAGCCGCAGAAAATGGCGAAGACGGGATCCTTTTACTGGAGACCTCGTTCTGTTGCAGTGTACATCTTAAGAAGCCTCGAACTCCAGATCAGTAATTTGACCACGAACGACTGAGTCTCACTGATTACCAAGAATTTTCTCAACCGTCTGCATACCCCTCTGTCTTCGTGAATTGAGCACAGAAAACAGCACTTTCCGAAAAACGATGATGCGGCATGCGCAATTCGTTAATTAACTACCGCAGCTTTTGGTTCCGGACACAGTCTTCGACTGAAGCCGCTTTCTGTTAGCGAATTACTGTTCGCTCTGATGTGCGCCCCACACAGCGGATTGGGTAAGTCCATCCGCCACACCCATGAGTGCTGAACACACCAAGACTAACAAGCTCTAACCTGTACAGTCAGCTCTCGTGATGACCCCACAAACTACTGATCACACATTCGATATGCCTCCGAGATTGCAGGTATTCCAACTGTTTGGTTGCAGATTCGCTGGTAACAACCTACATAAGTTCTGAGACAAAAGTTATCGAAGAACTCAGGACGCCTCAGTTACGCTGCTCGCAGAGATAACGTCACATAGCCACACAAGAAAACAGCCCGTACTGTAGGCTGCGCCTCAGTTACGGTGCTCGCAGAGATAACGTCACATAGCCACACAAGAAAACAGCCCGTACTGTAGGCTGACAAATAGAAATTCGTGTACTAATTTGACCTGCCACACTATAATCGGGACTTATACAACTTCAAAAATACGGAAAACGCTCCGAAAACTTGAGTGCCTCTTTCTTGAATTGAAGGTAGAGTGTCCAGTGACTGCATTTCATGGAACGTACCAAACGGCAGGAGGAGTCCGATCAGTTCATCCGATTATATCTGTGCCTTCTTTTCTTCATCGAAGAAGGAAATGATGCCCTCTGCATATTCCCAATAGATGAGTAGCTTCTAAACGTCAGGATTTGTATGATCTTTTAGCTGCCATCTCATCAATCAAACTGAGTAGGAAAGCTTCTCATGAGGAAACACTCCGTCGAAGAGAAATTCGAGCAGCCCTCGAAGGTGTAGAGGGAGTGCTGTATGCAAACCTACGTAAGACATCCGTTTAGTTTTCATCTGAACAGTGGACGGCTTCTAAGAAGCGCAAACAAGTGAGTTGTATACACAATTATTTCAAAGGTTCTGAAAAGTTCTCAAACTGGCAACTATTTAAAGTCACCGTCCTTGGGAAGTAGATGCAGATGGACATACAATCAGAAACAATAGTCAATCCGTTTATCTCACAGGTCGAATAATCGTTTTGGACGAAGAATCGTAACAATCCAGTAGCCAACACAACGCACACCGACTTCGGGAATGGGGGCTCGGCTAGCCACTGAATTTCATACCACAAAATCAAACATCTTACCGGTAACTGAAGGATTCTACTACCTATTGTGATAATGTTGGGCTCCCTCATCAAACGTGAAATAGCGCAACAGCATTTGCAAATGACCTGATCTTGAGGGACGCGCACTACACAGAATGGCCAAATTTTATTGTGGAGTGAAGTGCTCTTGGATAGATTTTGTAGTCATCATTTGTTGAATAACCTATTTCATATCATGGTTTTGTTGAAGAAAACCAACCTGCTGTTTGCCATCCCATACAGACAACCCCCACACCTGCCGAGTCCAGCACCGCGAAGCCAAAACTCAGCCGGTGGGGACGACTCCTTGATGTACCCGATGAAGTATGTCAAACCAGCGATGCGAAACCGCAGGAATTGAAACAAACAAGCAAACAAGCGCAGGCAGTCCCCGATTCAGAGTGTCTCCAAATGGGCTCTGTTGGACAAGCCAGACTCAACGAACTGTTAGAAGAACAAAGTGAATCCCAAGCGGCGATCATGTCACGGGTGGAAGAGTTGCGAAGCTCACTCTTAATTCAACTTGATCTAGTCTCTAAATACATGCAACACATTGAGTCCAAGATGGAAAAAGTTTCGTCGGCGTTGGGTTACAAGAGATAGGAATAAGAAGAAAACATGAAATGCCTTGTGTACAGAAATTGAATTACATAAAATGACTGACCAATATTTTCACAGATTTTCCAGTGTTGAGTTAGTGGGATAAAAAAGATAATCTTACTCCCTTTTTCCTGGGTAGCCGTTAGCGGTTCGGTGGTCGTCAACTGAGCTTCGTGGTGATGAAGGCCGCAAGATTATCTAGGCGAGCCATAACACAAGCATAATAAAAAACTAATCGTTCACCTGTAGCACCCTTCCGGTATCTGGCTATCATGTCACGCAAAGGAAGTATGAGGGCTAAGAGGCTGCTAGGTTTCCCAAGATGCCAAGGTTCCGTTCAAACCACCGACCTTTTACCAGAAAACTCGGGACTTAGCCAGGCAAAGCCTGTCTTCGTTAGGCATCTGCAAATTTCGCAATTGGTCATTCGGCCGAGTTAGTTATGTGTTAATGGAGGTAGTTTCAGAGCAGAATATTTCGGTGTAATGACGCTCGGAGGAAGTGGCTATCATGAACATTGACTAGACTGATCGAGTAACAATTCCTTATTTNTCCCTTCTATAAGTAACTGAACCGCTACGAACTATACGTTGCCGGTAAAATATGTTTGAAGCAAACAGCTCTGGTTCTCCACCATCCCTTGCTCATTTGGCTATCGGGCCAGCCAGATAGTGATATATAAAGACTAATGCTCCCTGGACAGTCTACAACTTGCTATGCAAACGTTTTCACGCAGACACGGCACAGTGAAAATCCCGCGGAGCCTTTTTACTTCAAACGTTAGTAATACAAATGTGAGCATCACCATTACACGAGTTGCGTTGAGTAGAAGGTACAAAACATAAGAAGCGAGCATGTGAAATAAAAAAACAACAGGGGGGATAAAGATCAGTAGCAGAAGGGAAGATAAAAACACAGCCAGGTGAAATAAAGGAAGTAGTTATTCTTGGTCCAGAGTGAATAAGAATGAATTTTCCGGGACTTGAACTTTATCACTTACGCATTTGAGTGCCCATGTTTTCGTGACAAAATATGGCTGGTCAGAAGTAGACTTGCACCTAAACCCTCGAAAAATTTGTTCCCGATTCGGATTGCCTTCTTCCGATAACTAGGCAAGGTATGAAGGGATAAACCGGATAGATTAGTACGGCGGATATGCATGTAAATCAGAGGGAGTAAATTACAACACGTCAACCAAACAGCTATGTAATAGTAGTTCAGCCAAGAGGACACAGGTTTTCGGGTTTCGCCATCGCCAGCGAAAACCATCCTAACCACGATATGGCTTGTCACCAAACGCCTTCGAACGTTGACAATACGATAAAATAGTCCATTAGTTGTCTAAAGAGAAAATGAAATCGATCTCCGCCAGTTCACCTTGGGAAACACTACTTCCGGATATTCCGGATATATCGACCAGTGCTTGCAACCGAACAGAAAAATATCATCTGATAAATTAACTTGACTGGTGATGTTAGGTTGCCGTAATAAAGGAAAAGAATGTTGAGTTGGGGTATCTAACTTTCAGCCTGACCCAAAGGGTGAGTAGAATGTGTAAGGCATTAGTTACCTAGTTTGGTCTTTAGACGGCGACACAATTAGCAACTGTGGTTGGATGGGCAAAGTTCAGAGTCAACGACTGCACAGTCGTTCTGAATTCAGAAACGCCTAGCCGGATGGTTCGGGGACTAAGGTGAATAAGCCTTGCTTCCAATGCTCCGTGTACTACAGCGGCATTTAAAGCTGTGTTCGGCTCCTGAGGTCTGATGTTCAGATGTCCGCTTTGTCATTTAGTCACTCCAATCACGGTGACAACTGACAAGTCACCTAAGGGGAACACCGTGGCAAGACAAAATCATTGGACAGGAACGCCATAAGGTTTCGATGTAGTAGTACACGTCGCCAATACCACAAATCCTTTTCTCTAGGATGCACCTCCAACCTTTGAGTAACCGAATGAGAGTTACAGAGCGGCAGGGGAGTGGTGTTTTAATCAGGTGATGGTATGACTATGTTGCATCGACCAAGGTTGCATGGAAGACTTCGTGAATGTAATATGAAAACCTTCAATGTAGACGACACACTATGGCAAATATCCACACCGGGCAATCACGGGACGGNACGACACACTATGTCAAATATCCACACCGGGCAATTCACGGGACGGTTTTCTGAAATCTCAAGCCGATACAAGAGACGTATTTAGGATGACCACTCCTGTATATATTAAACGTTTAGGATTAAAACTCTGCATATGAACAGTTAAATCATGAGCTACACAGGAGTCCCAAAGTTGTGTGCACAAATGATAGTGAACCTTGCAGATGGAAGTTATCTCTGTCAAAACAGTTATTTCAAATTCAGTTTGACATGCAATCTTTCGTTATCACACAGTCACTTGCCATGGTTGTATTTTCAGATTATTCCATATGCGAGCTTCTGTGAAACTATTTCCAACTGACTTCCTCCATAAAACCGGTGTTGCGTGTCAAACTTAGGGCCATTTGGTTAGATAAATCACACCGACTAGTTGAGTGTTGTAAACAACGAGAACTGAGTTGCAGTCATCGAACATCTAAACGCTGTTACCCAAAAAACGCACGCCATTCAGTCATCATTGGAATGCACATAAAACTTGGTTCCTACGAAGATAAGGCCTGAGCGGCCATTTGAATAAGATCGTGACTGGAGTTGAATTCTCACGTGACTGCCATCCCCCGTCCTGGTAATCTGTACAACCGGTGTTTCAGGAGTAAAGAAGTGAAACAAATTTATATTTCTCATTGTTTCTTTTGTTGGACTGATACATTGAAAAATTTATGCGAACCTTTCATGTCAGAAAGATTGTACTTTTAAATATTAAAAAACTTGAAAACCAACACACTGCATCATTCCAACACGGAATTACTGTACCTAACTGCGGTGTGGCATTTAAGGTAATATGTGGTGTAATGCGAGATGCATGTATATTCAAGCGTTGTAACCGCACTATTTCATCCTGTATGCCAGCGTGTCCAGCGTCTTGAAATGAGTCAATGGTGACGTTACACCTTGGGAAGGAACGAAGACTGTTGTAAACAGGTCAAGTTTAATACTTAAAATTAACCAGTGAAACAGTGTACATACAGCCGTTACGTTTTAGTTTACCGGGACTATAAGCTTAAGTTAGAAACATGGAGAATAGTAAGGTCTCATTCATATGAAAGCCAACCACAGCAGAGAGACTTTCACCGATCCAACCACGCCGCAAAATTCACGAGAATGGCCATTTTGCTTTCGATAAACGGTACTTAACATGAGTGGCAGAATACACGTTAGTTACACCCTTCGCAATCTCATACTATAGAAATTTGAGTCCCGGAGTTCCGAGTTGTTCCGAGAGCGTTAAGTTGTTGATAAAGAGGGGGTTACAAATGCCAAAACAGTGTTACTATGAGGAAAATATGCACTGTGATGAATTCAGGCTCCAGGAGAATATTGCAGTCATCGAATTTCCCCCAGAATACACAAGCTTCATTTCCATACAGCCATCACCACTCGTTCAGTTCAGACATTTGACGTCATTCTTAGCTTTTCAATACAGCGACAGTCACCTGTTGTAGTATCCTGATAGCGCGAAATTTCAATAGAGGAACATCAGTCGGCAACGGAAACGAAGTTCTTTTCTAAAAAAANACACTGGCCGTAACTTGTTGGAACGGATAGACGTCTTCCGATCAAGCTGTCAATTACACCGGCCTAAAGATCCTAGCAACGGCACAAAACGACTGTCAACAGAATGAAAATGCTGTCTTCGGGATAAAATCTTTTAACATCCAACCGTGCAAAGCAAATATTTCGAAAGAAGAACATTGATTTTATGAGGTGAACCGAAAGCAGCACTTTGTTATCCTGTTGAAGTATTAAGTTCTCAGTCTGGAAACCTAATTTTCAGAATAGGAGCTTGGTGAGTGTAGCGATTCATACCATAAGTACCATCGCTATCTGAATTTAGTCAGTACGGAAAACCATCACAGTGTCAATATTGCAGTTCCGTCGATTGGTGTAAATTTCACGGGTAATCACTGGATATCCGATTCTCTTAGGTTAGGGGTAAATCTGTGGATATACATATTATGTATGTATACATTGCGAATATGGCCTGTTTCGAATGAGGGGATTTCGGTAATCTCCACTAAAGCTCAAATCTGGGAACGTGCACACTACCTCTCTAAGCAGAATTCCAGATTCGACTTTCAGTTTAGACTAGATGTACAAGCCATTCGGTTGGATGCCGAATGCGGTAACTTTGTTAGTTTCTGCTTCTCGGGTATCCGCCGCTTGGGACACATCCAAGGCGCTGGAGGTGAAATCTGTCGATCGGTTCAGTTGTCTGCTTAAATTTGGCATTGTCTATGATTGGACATCTGTGAACACCGTCACCTCCGGGACAAATGGAATGATTCAACCACGTAATTGCATCAACGTAGCTTGTCAAACAAGTCAAGTCATGCCGTAAGTTGTAGGCTGAGGGATAGGCTGGTGTTCAAATTTTTTTTTTGAAATTACAGTGGCATTAGACGTCCTATGTACCTTCAGAGCATATCTCGAATCTTAAGCCCAGCTTGGTGCTCCCTACAGAAAAACCAAAAGCAAAACCTGAAGTATCATGGTAATCCGTTGGCTAAATCTAATGACCTCAGTTTTAAGCATAGCTCGGGTTAATCGGGTGGCTTTAATAGTATTTCGCGTAGTCTGTCTGGTTCTATGAACCAGTAACTTGCCGACTCACGAGCATCTCGTCAGCCACGACTAATATTCCATTGATCCCCACGCACCATTCATTCCTGTTCTGGGAACACTTAGTACGCACTCTCCAAAGTGTAAATCACCGGTGAGGTGTCGTCAGAGTTTGCTCAACTAAAATGGCATTTATAACTCGCAACACTGGATAGCAAATGACCGTTCCACAACAAAGTGAACCGCGTGTCCACTAGGATGTTCACATGAGGAGCAAATGCACACAGTAGGACTAAGCGTGGAGCTCAAGATAGCAAACAGGTTCAAACGTGAGCTACCAACTGAAATATTTCAATTCGGATTGCACATAAAATTAAACTGCACTTTCTACTGGCAAGATACCACAGTAATGCACCGCAAGAAATAATTATGCAAGATTAGCTCGATCGTTGGGGGAGTGTGCGTAGCAGGGCTAAAGAAAACCACGGAAAATAGTTCAGCAGTTGATTCACTCGCGTACTCACCAATAACAAATGCGATAATGTCCAGGAGCCTTCATGAGATTCGGATAAACTGCGCAGTGTGTGATCGACTAAGTCCATCGCTTGTGCTATTGACTGCTCTGTATCAATCACATGAACTGGAAACACGATGGCCCCAAGTGAACGAAGATCAGCTAACAGTAGTCGATCTTCGAGTTCCTGGCAGTCCGAATAGGTATCATACTTCTGAACATCCAGTGAGGTTTCAGATGCTTGGGGAAGCCGTACCGGCAAGATGATGTATCCACCGAGCGGTCGAAGTGGAGGGAAGTCTGAATCGATTGTTCTCGTTAAGCCAATAAATTCAGCCAAAGTATCGAATGAAGGGTTCTGTAGATAGACCAAACGGACAGATGTTACCTGGTTTGACAGATACTGAGCCCATCAGTGATTACAAAGCTGCACAATGATCTGATGAAACCTAGCCTCTGTTTGGGAAAAACCAAGCTCACTGATATAGTATGTGCATTTCTTACGACGCTATATTGTATCTGTCTCATATTTTGATTAATTCGCGAAACAGAAACTTCGAACATTTCAGTAGAAGACACCAGGGAGCAATGAGCCTCAACTATGGTGTACGCAAACTTCTTAAAGTGTTACCACAAATAGGCACAGATATCAGGTATTATACTGACTGACGTTCAGTCATTATATTCAAAATACAATGTAATAAAAATTCTTCAGATCCTGTCAATCTTGCGCCACACTATCTCGAGCTTTTCAGTGACACAAAGCTGATGCCGCATGTCCTATGCCGTCTTGCACGGCTGTTACACCATGTGCAATGAAATTTTAACATGCAAACAGCATGGATAGTGTAGGGGAGAACTTATTGGATGGACTGGACAAATCTATTCTGTGCACATATTTTGCCTGTGAGGATTGGATGACAACAGCCTCAGCAGTAGAGAGATTACGCAATCTGACTGCTTCGGACTGGTTCTGTGGCACGTGGTATGCGGTCCGAAATGTAGTGTTCCGATCAACGAGGCAACCCGTGTTAAATAGGAGGACCACAACAGAACCCTAGGTTTTGCATGTAGCTCCAAGGACGGACCCCCTCGGGTGGTGCTCCCCAGTCAACTGCTGCACCACATAAGAACTGCCCCATATGAGCTTGAATTCATAAGCAATCATTGATGAGGCTAGCACTGACAGTTTGTCTTATTTTGCAGACGTAAAAGAGGTGAAGCTAAGAAGCACCAAAGTTCAGCCGCGTTGAACGTGGGTCTTACCACTGCGGACAGACTCTTGGCTAACATCTCAGTTGCTTTGGTTTCAGTTCTGTTTTGCATATTGCGTTGGATAAACAGATTAGTGTAAGCGTTTTTTTTAAGGTGTTTCTAACAGCACCCAATTCATGTGCTAGCGTGGCGTTTGGACATACTTTTCGAGCCATGGAAGCCATACCTCGGACTAGGTTTCTTTCATAATGTACAGGGACAGAACCACGATGGTTCATATATTGTTTACTCCATGTTATCTTGTGGTGAAGGCTTCTTTGATTGAAGCGATGGGTGCTCTGGTTCGCCGGACGTTCAGAAAGGACAGCTGATTGTCCACTACCCTTTTCGTGACAAAACTGCAGTGAAGGTATTGAACCAATTTACGAATTTTTTAAATCCAACTCTTCGACAAGCTTACAGAATATATCATCGTACCGGAGCACAACTGATAAGGCTTGTCTAGCACTCTTTTCCAAAGTCAATATGGAAATAATTCAGCAGTTCAGTGAAATATCACCAAATGCAACATCATATTACTCAGCTCTCGTATGTTTCGAAAGAAGTTCTTTCTAGCAAAAGTATATAAACTTACCGAGATACTTTTCTATCCAAAAGGTCGCCGAAAAAATCGCATACCCTGTAGGAAATTTTCCGAATGGTTGCATCCGAAAGTTGCTGAGGATGAGTACAGAATCATAATTCTATCGTGTTCTACTCGATAAGACATCGTCATGCATCACTATCGATGGGACTACAAACCCGTTTACCAATGACGTTCTGCAAAGCATATTCGGGTGATTCTTAATTCTGCCACAATTTCCATGGTGAGATGGCGTACAGGTCTAGTTCGCTTGCGTTATCGTCGCTTTGGCTAGAGCGAGATATCAGGTTTGTACTGCAATCACCTACTAATTAACAGAACAAAAAGCCAGCGCGTTCACTGTGAATTCAATGTGCGCCCTCTGGTGAGGCACACAAACAACGTGGTCTGAAATTTCATGCAAACCGACTCAGGTTATGTCGAGCTTGCCACTGACCTCATAAGAATGGAGTTTAAGGAGCGGAGATTGATCATAAGAATGGGAAGTATCATCGGGCAGGGTGGAGCTTTGCCTTCAGAAAGAGTTTCAAGTAGTAATAAACTGACACAGAACGGCCGGGGTTATCATTATACAGAAGACGATAGGAAAAATCGAGGACGACCATTCAAATGTGGCACCGAATGACAAGTAATAGTAGACTGATTCTAAGGCCATCGTACTTTAATAGAGATAATGCACCATCCAGTTTTATGCTGTAAGACTCCACCAGACACATCATAACTGTATCACGTCATCAAATACTATGTCACTCACTCGGCCCACGTGTGTGCACGGCAGAAGAAATTCGCTTACGGTAGTGACACAAGGTCCGTTATTCTTCTACGTTCCATAACTAGTTTGCCCCTTGTGATAAAACTTCTTAAAGTAAAACGGAGGACCACGACTCTGACTTCGGAAAAATTCACGTCCCATTGAGAGTGAACCTTCCCACTTTTTTAGCATCTATACGAGAGGAATACTGCCTTTGGCTGCAAAGTTATTTATTAGCAAACGTGAAGCAAGAAGTTACAAGCCATTAGACAAAAGTGAACACCTCATCTGCAATTTTTTAAAGTGAACATTCGTACGTCTTCTTGGACATTCCTCGAAGTTCGTTGTCTATTAAACAATAGTAAATGAACTCTGTAAAGCGATTCCATAATTTCAGTAATAAACTTTACCTTCCATCAGATGCGTGGTCGGAGCCTGGACATGAGACATTAGGCTACTCGCATGCTTCATCAGTAGCATAAACCATTGCAGATATGGAGAAGAGTGACCAAAAGTAAATATGCAGTCCCTGTGAATGTACTCATTCAAATAAACTGGCTACAGGTTCTGAAACCAAGTTTCCCTCCTTCCCTAGCATGCGCCATAGTTTAGATATTCAAAGGAGTTGCCAACAAATTTTCGCAGCACTTGCGTATCACTTTAATTTCTTTACCACTCCTAGTTTCCACAACATCAGGTTTTAGTAGGCCCGATTCCCTTCTTCGTCGGAAGTGATGAACTATACCTCTTCTCTTCGCATGAACCAAACGGTTCATCAACACACTGCTTCAGTCTAAAATCACGTGATGGGCATTGTCCATGTCCATGAGTAAACAAGCGAATTTTTTTTATATACGTGAACGAGCTGACCGCTGCGGTAGGGAGGGCGTTTTTACATTGAGCGTTTTGATAGCGAGTAGCCCAAAAATGCGTGTTGTTGATCCGTGCGCCAAATTCATTGCACCACAATTAGTATAGAGGTTGAACCCCATTCGTTCCCAAACGGAAAAGCCGAAATAATCATGAGAAACTAGGTGACTTTGTAAGGATTTCGCGATCCTTATAACTACATGGATTTCAAATATTTTTTGTGAGTGGTTAATTTAGTCGGGGTACACTCTAGTGAGTTTCAAAAGGAAGTGGATGATGGCCCAAGAGTAGTAGTGGTGAACATGCAGTCAGTTAATGTGAACCGATCTGGGATCAACTAACACCGCAAGGATGAGGTTGAAGTACTAATCTAGTGAGCTAACAAGTGCACTACTTAGTGCAATCATACCAGTATCGCTTATATGCCCGTACGTACTTCTCCTTAGGATAATATTGGAGGTCCAAGCTCAGTTTCCGCACTTTGGTTAGTCGTAGGATCATAAGAACTATGAAAAACGCTGAACCTTGCACTTACCGTAGCCGCTATTCCCTGTGGACGACTTGACTCTCCATCATCTCCTTCAAACGCCTGCGACAGTAACTCTTTTAGGCCATCCACTGTCAGCGGGTCAGGGAAACTTCCTCCATAG